AAGTGATAATGTGAGAGATGCTCTTACGAAGAACGAAAGCATTTTGATGACTAATTATATATATAGGGTATAAAAGACTGTGGAAACAGTGGAAACAGTGACAGACCTTATTTTGGGGGGCTCCAGAATCACTGCAGATGGTAACTGCAGCCATGAAATTAAAAGACGCTTACTCCTTGGAAGGAAAGTTATGACCAACCTAGACAGCATATTAAAAAGTAGAGACATTACTTTGCCAACAAAGGTCTGTCTAGTCAAGGCTATGGTTTTTCCAGTAGTCATGTATGATGTGAGAGTTGGGCTATAAAGAAAGCTAAGTGCCAAAGAATTGATACTCTTGAACTGTGGTGTTGGAGAAGATTCTTGAGAGCCCCTTGGACTGCAAGGAGATCTAGCCGGTCCATCCTAAAGGAAATCAGTCCTGAATATTCTTTGGAAGGACTGATGTTGAAGCTGAAACTCCAATATTTTGGCCACCTAATGCAAAGAGCTGACTCATTTGAAAAGACCCTGATGCTGGGAAAGATTGAGGACAGGAGGAGAAGGGGATGACAGAGAATGAGATGGTTGGATGGTATCACCAACTCAATGAACACAAGTTTGAGTAAACTCTGGGAGTTGGTGATGGATAGGAAGGTCTGGTGTGCTGCAGTACATGGGGTCACAAAGAGTCGGACACGACTGAGCGACTGAACTGAACTGATAAAAAGACTGAGGGACTCAAAGTGGCTTTCACCTAGGCCTCTGGATGACTGGGGAGGTCATCTATAGAAACAGGGCCTGTTTCTTTCTATGTGTAGAACTGTTGCTACAAGGAATTTAGAGGTCACCACACTAGTAAAACCCAGAGCCAGAGCTAAAAGCCAGTCTCCTCATCCTGCATGCCTATCCCAGGGCTCATGCCCTTCTCAAATTCTGTCAGTGGTATCCAATTGGAGTTAGCGGTCCAAAACATGAAAAGGCTTCATGAATGGGATATAAAACTGTTTAAAAGGAATTTCTCCTTGGTGTACAGGGAGTGTCTCATATAATGCTGGAAACTATTTTACACTGGAAATCTCCTTTGCGAATGGGTTTGTTTTCCACATTTGAGAAGTTAAGAAATAAATGGCTTCCCATGTCTTTGAACAATTAAAGGTACACATGACATCTTAGGATAACGTGGTACCATTTTATTAGCTGGCATCAACCATTTTTGAAGGTATTGTTGACCTGAGAAGTCATTCTTTAGCTGACATTGGATTCCTAAGATTGGGATGATCATAACAGTATTTTTTAGGTTGTACATCACTTGCAAATTACCAAGAATTTTCTCATCTATTACTTTGAATTCATGGGATGGACACACATACACATGCACACACACACACACACAACTAAGGCAAAACTCCAGTTGTCTAAAAATAAATGAAAAAGTTATATGTGACCGAGTGAATTCAGCCATGCCTGCCTCTGGGTACAATACTTGATTCCCAGGATTTTATTTGTTTGGCAGTTTCCTGCTCTGTCACTGTAGCATCCATTGTGTTTTAATTTTCTGATATGCATGGACTATAAAGTATTTATGTCCACTTTTATGAGGAGAAAGCAAAGGGCACAGTGTACGTGGCAAGTTGTTTACCCTCAGGGCCAGCAGGCTATAACATTTTGAAAACTAGAAAGCCAGAAAAGATGAGGCAATGATGCCAAAGACAACGGACTGTCTCTGTGCATTGGACCCCTACATGAGAAGGCTCATAAAGCCCTCCCTTTGGATCCTGCCTTTGTATTTTGCAATATGGCTACTGGGAAAGATTACAAGGTTAAACCATTAAAATGTTTTCTGCATATAGACTCACAGATTTCGAAAACAAACCTGTGGTAACCAAACAGAAAATTTGTGTCTGGGTGGTGGGGAGGGGAGGGTGGATAAATTAAGAGTTTGGAGTTAACATACGCACTCTAATATTTATTGGAGAAGGCAGTGGCTACCCACTCCAGTGTTCTTGCCTGGAGAATTCCATGGACAGTGGAGCCTGGTGGGCTATAGTCCACGGGGTTGCACAGAGTCGAACAAGTCTGAGTGACTAAGAAGCGAGTACTCATGTATATAAAATAGATAACCAACAAGGACTTACTATATTGTACAAGGAACTCAACTCAATATTCTGTAATAACCTATATGGTAAAATAATGAATATATGTGTATGTATAGAGTCACTATGCTGCACACCTGAAACCAACACAACATTGTAAATCAATGAAACTTTTTAATGTTTTCTCCATAATTTTATTCCTAAATTTCAGTTATTTTGCAGGAAAAGAAAAAAACCTTGGAAAATAAATTATTTTTGCATCAAACTAGCACTCAGCACACCTACCATGAGCAACTCATGTATCCCATTTTATTGGATGCACTCTGTTCTCAGCCCATAACAAAATATTTTTCTACCACCAAAGAAAAGGATTTTAAAACAACATCTAATAAATAAAGATTTATTAAGTGCTCCACCTAAAGTCATTTTAAAAAACATTCAGATCCAGAGAACTTCCAGAAAACCAGGAGAACAAAATTCCCTCTTTCTAAAGCTAAAATACTTTTCTTACCATGAGAATACAAGGAAGGTCTGCCCCTAAAAATCATCTCAAACAATGGTGCCAAAACTTTTTACTGTCTTTAACCCATCTTATCTTTGAGCAGTATACCTTTATGCTCATTATTCTGATACTAAGAAGGGAAAAGTTTTCCCCAGTATGTGGGAATTTCATACAAGCAGCTGTTCTAGTTTTGAAAACTCAACAGAGAAATGTTCTTAGGAAATACGGTGTGGGCATTTTTGGAGAGAGATGGCAGAAAAGGGACCCTTGGCTAAATTTAACCCCTGTCATGTTATAGGAAACTGTGTAGTACAGAGGTTAAGAACAGTGGATCTAGAATCAGAAAGATCTAGCAGTCTCTCAGTATGTAAACTCAGTCAAACCTCAAGCCTTCTGATCCTTTGCCTAATGGCCCCCTCTGCCTCCTTTGCCCTTGTCCGACCTCAATCCATTTACCACACAGCAGCCACACTGATTTTTGAAAAATATGTAGCAATTTTCCCAGTGAGATATATTTCACATAATAAAATTCACCATTTAAAAATGTATACTTTTGTTTTCGATACTCACAATGCTATGGCAGCCATCACCATCTAATTCCAAAATATTTCTACTGTCTTGCAATCATTAATCTAATCTTTCTATAGATTTCCTATTCTGGATATTTCATTAAAAAGAAATCATATAGTATGTGGTCTTTTGTGACTGGTTTCTTTCACTTAATATGTTTTCAAGGTTCATCCATGTTGTAGCATGTAACAGTACTTCATTCCACCTATTGGTTGAATGATATTTCATAGTATGGATAGACAAAATGTGGTATTTCTACTTATCCATAGATGAATATTTGGGCTGTTGACACATTTTGGCTATTATGAATAATGTTGTTATGAACATTCATGTACAAGTTTTTGTATGGATGTATGTTTTTTCTTGGATATATATCTAGGAGTAGAATTGCTGGGTCATATGATAACTCTATGTTTAACTTTTTGAGGAAAACAATGATCATTTAAAAGTATAAATCTGTTCATGTTACTCTCCAGTAGATTCACAATGCATTGAGAGTGAAATCTAAACTCTTTGAATGTTCTATAAAGTTCTTTCATGGCCCAGACCCTGCCTACATCTCCAATCTCCTTTTCTACCACTCTCTCTGTTTACCAAGCTCTGAAGGGAACAGTAACCCACTCCAGTGTTCTTGCCTGGAGAATCCCATGGACAGAAGAGCCTGGCAGGCTACAGTTCATGGGGTCAGAGTCAGACACGACTGAGTAACTTTCACTCACTCAGACACAGTGGCCTGCTCCATCATCCACAAAAATGCCAAACTCCTTGGTATTGGGAAAACTGGATATGCACATGCAAAAGAATGAAATCAGACCCTATTCTCACCATATACAAAAATAACATTTACATCTTTAATCCATTTTGAGTTAAGACCTAAAACTACAAAGCTCCTGGAGGAAGACATAGGAGGAAAATTTCATGACATTGGATTTGTCAATGACTTCCTGGGTATGACACCAGAAACACAGGCAACAAAAGCAAATATATACAAAATGGACTACACCAGACTTCTGTGCATCAAAGGAAACAAGCGTGAAGAGGCAACCTATTGCGGGGACGGGGGACTTGCAAGTCATATGTCTGATAAGAGGATTAATATCCTGGCCACGCCTAACACTTGCTCTGTTTCGGATTCCCGGCCAAGCTGATCTTGCTGAATGATCATGCCTAGTACGTACCCTTTCACCTGGCCTCGGGCAGCCAGAGCCTTCCAGGCCCACAAAGCTCAGTCCAGTTCCCAACCACCTGCATAATTCCAAGGGTAAAGGCAGCCCACCACCTGAAAACCCTTCTGATGCGGCAGATTTAAACTGGTGACACTCAGTCCTCATTTGGACGTGCTGCCTGATGGGGTCCTGGGCTTCTTCAGCAAACATAGTTCCCAGTGTGTCCTATTGGAGGATACTCTGGCTAGCCTGCCCAGCCACACCTTGCTAAGACCAGATTCCTCTAGATCTACCTTCAAGGGGAATATGCGTATTTGTGTAAGTTAGGGCTTGGAATTAGGCAGATGAGTTGTATCCTTAAGAGCCCACTCCATTGACCTGTGTCTCCTAACACCTGCCTTGTTCCGATTCCTGGCTGTCACTGAGTTGGTTGTATGGAACTCCACCTGGCCCCTAGCTCAGTCAAAGCACCCTGCCTGAAAGGTTCTCTTTCCATTCAGATTTGAACAGCCAATAACAAAACCTATGGTGAGAATGAAATAGCACAGCTTTATTCAGTGGCCAGAGAATGGAGAGGCGGGAAGTTAATACAGAAACCAACTTCTCAACTCAACTTGGGTTGAAACACCACATTTATGGTGGGTCAGGGTAAAAGAGAGGGAATTGAGTAAAGAGAGGGAGAAATATTCATGACTCATCTGAGAACAGGAGTGTGGTTTGCTCAGAATTGGAACAACATTCCTTTTTAGTCCTTGTGTGGGTTCTTCCAGGGCTTCCAGGTCTGTGGTGCTCTATCTGGCCAGTCCCGGATGCTGAAAATTCAGCTTCTCTGCACGCCAGTGTCAAATTGAATCTCTGAGACAGGGTTTTGAGTGAAGTAGAAAAGGATAGCTTTATTACTTTGCTAGGCAAAGGGGGCCACAGCAGACTAACGCTCTCGAAACTCTGAGTCCCAGCTTGGAGAAAACGATGAGAAATTTTATAGTAATTGCTCAAAGAGGGCGTCAGCTCACTGACATTCTTTTGATGGGTTGGTGGTGAGTTAAGTAGGAGCATCATCAACCTTCAGGTCCAACTGGCCTGGGGTCTACATGCCTGTGGACAGCATACCATCATTAATTGTTAACTTCTCCCACCTGGAGGGGTTTTCAGTATCTGCAGTATAGCTCAAAGATATTATGTATATCCCTTGATGTGGAAAGAGGACCTTGCCCCACGGATGCTCTTGACAGTTTGTCCATGGTCTCTCATCCCCTCCCTTCCCTAATTAACAACTGCTTGAATCTGCCCACTGGAACTCAGGGAAGGCCAGGGAGGCGAATGAATGCTGTTTCCAGTAATCCAAAAAACAGGGGACACATAAAGGCCTTGTGCCCAGGAGCCCTACAGGGCCCTGCACAGTACCATCCCCCCCACCCGCATAGCCTCCAGGGTGTAAGAAGCCCATGCCCTAAAGATCATTATCAGGTGGCGGTCTTAAACTGGTGAGAGTCAGCCCCCGTTTGGCTTTGGTGCCTGATGGGTTCCAGGCCTCTCTAGCAACCAGAGCTCCCAGGTGTCCCCTGATTGAATGATACTGTAGCCAGTCCACCTAGTCCTTCCCTCCCAAGGCAGTAGAGTCACCTGGAAATCTGTCTTCTGAGGGAATATCCCAATTGAGTAGATTAGGGCTTGGGATTAGATATATACCTTTATCCCTAAGATTCTGCTCACACTGACCTCTCTCCAGACCCTTACCCTCTTCCAGATCCCTGGCCACCTTGAGCTTCACCTCATGTACCTGTGCAATATGCACCTCTTCAGCAGGGCTTGGGCAGCCTGGGCAGTCACAAGTATTGCTGAGGAGGTAGAGAATTTGGATCCCTTGTGCACTGTTGGTGGGAATGTAAATTGGTGCAGCCACTATGGAAAATAGTATGGAGGTTCCCACCCCCCAAAAAAAAAAAATTAAAGATAGAATTACATGATCCAGCTATCCCACTTCTGGTTTTATATCTAAAATAACCGAGAGCAAGATCTCCAAATGATATTTGCACACTCATGTTCACAGCAGCACTATTCACAGTAACCAAGAGGTAGAGAAACCCAAACATCCACTGATGGATGAATGGATAAAGAAAATGTGGGATATTATATACACCTTTAAAAAAGTATTAGTGTTTTTAAAAAAAGAAACTAATATGTGCTGCAACATGGATGAACTTTCAGGATATTGTGTTAAGTGAAATAAGCCAGTCACAAAAAGACAAACATCATTATTATTCCACTTATATGAGTTATCTAAAGTAGTCAAAATGCATGGAAACAAAGTTGAGTTTTCATTGCCAGGGGTTTGGGAGAGGGGAAACTGGGGAGTTGTTCAATGGGTGCAGAGTTTGAGTTTTACATGAAAAATTTCTAGAGATCTGTTGCACAATAAAGTAAATGTAGTTAACACTACAGAACTATACAGTATAAAATGGTTAAGATGATGAATTTTATATCATGCATTTTCTACCACAATTTAAAAATTGTTTTTAAAAATGCCAAATTTTCCTGCCTAATAATCTTTGCTCCTACTATTCTCTCAGCCTGGAATACTTTCTCTTGCTTTATGCATGACTGGTTTCTCTCATACTTCTGGTTTCAGTTTAAATGTTACCCACTCTCTTGAGAACCCTAACTTTTAAAATAGGTCCCCTTCATTCTCAGCCACTTGTTTATTCTTTTCAAAACAACTGTTCTTTTACATCACGTTATGTAATTATGTAATTAATTTCTGCCTGTCTTTCCTGCTATATTATAAAGTCTGAAGACAGCAACTGTGTCTGTATTTAAACCATTGCACCTAGTTTAGCAACAGAGACAACAGGTGTTCAATAAACTTTTTCAGAATGAAAAATGAGTTACAGATGAGTCTATGTAAACTGGGAATAATAACATTTGCCTCATAGGGTTGCATGATAATTGGGTGAATAATGTATATGACATAGGGCCTGATACTTAATAGAACTCAGCCTGTATTTTCAGGGCAGGATATTTTTATTGTACTATAGACTTTTATTGTACTAAGATTCTCAGGAATGTTGCAATGACTTTGGGCAAGGCAGAGCTATGAGCGTGTTAATAAGAAGTATTCTAATCAGGAGGGGGAATGTTCTGTGCCTGAGTGTATCAAAGCAGAAACAGTTGTTTATTCTTCACTCAGAAACTTTACCCTCAGTATCACCCACTCTGTAGCAGAGGATGAAATACTTAAAGCATGAGTTCCAAACTGGGGGACCCTTGATGACCCATGGATAGAATTCAGGGGTCTGTGAATTTGGATGGGAAAGAAATTACATCTTTCTTTTCAGTAATCTCTTAATAGAAATTGTTAATTCCTTCAACTATATAGCTCAGTTGGTAAAGAATCCGCCAGCAATGCAGGAGACCCCCGTTCAATTCCTGGGTCGGGAAGATCTGCTGGAGAAGGGATAGGCTACCCACTCCAGTATTCTGGCCTGGAGAATTCCATGGACTGTGTAGTCCATGGGGTTGCAAAGAGTTGGACACAACTGAGTGACTTTCACTTTCACTTTCACCTATAAATGGGAGCCCCTTAAAACTGCTCAGTAGTGCTAGTGACTGTGTCACCAATAGAAATCACTTAAGATTTTCATATCACATTACAGATATCCTGAAATACTGTTTATGCTCATTACTAATTCAAAATAATGGTAGATGTTACTCCTGACACTAGATTTTTTAAAATTTGAGTTAATAAAGAAGTATGTATCTTTGCATATCACAAATTTTGCTTTTAAAATGTTTTGTAATATTATAAATTTCCTTCCTTTGTAATTCTGCACATTTTATTCTGAGGCATTTAGAGATATGATTTTATTAATAATAAGGGGTCCCTATTCACAAGATTGCCAAGGTTTTTGGTATATGTGTATATACAGTGTCTTTCATTTAATAGGAGGGCCTTGAATGATTCTTCATGGTCATGAGAATTTTTCCTTTTGGTACTGCCTTAAATCTATAATTAGATAAAGAATAAACAAGAGAGGCCAACTTGATCCATAGAGAAAACTTGACTCTATTTTTTAAAAACTTGGTACGGAAAGATTTCTTTCATTTTAACTTTTCATCCTGTGAAGAAAGTTTGAAATGTATCTATTCCAGGTATTTCGATGGCATAATTTCATTCTTTCTAAATAACTGCTCAGATGCCACTTGTGACAATAGCACCTAAAGCAAGAACTATGATAAAGGAACCCTTGTGATTTCTGATGTCAGTGAAGTGTGACTGTGACTCTGAGACCAACTTCACGGATTGTGTTACAGGCTTTGAAGTGAGTGTGAGCAGAGTATGTGATATTTTCTTTGCTGAAAAAAGAAAGATTAAAAATGAAAAACATAAAAACATTCAGAAGTCTAATAAAGGAAAATGGTAAATGTGTACATATTATGCACAAAAAGGTTTAGCTACAGCCTATACATGTATATATAGAGAGAAAAATGTAAAGTAAAAGGACACCCTACTTGTCTTTCTACCAACTCTGTAATATGTGGCAGAAGGGGAGCCGACCCAAGTATTTCTGATTAAACAATGCTGACTGAATGTGTCTTCATTGCCTAAAGAAACCAGAATCTTCTCATTCTGGCTCACCCCCCTTCACCCCCCAGTTCCCCTCCCCGAGTCAGAGTCTATAATAAGTAATGAGTTCTAAGTACCCGCCTGTATGTGAGGGCATAAGAAATTCTTCCTCTTGGAAACACCTCCTCATTTTCTTGTGTAGTCATGGCAAGTAAGCTTATCTCTTTATAGTAGTGTAAGAGTGGCTTGGATGTAATTCTACTTTCAGGTATGATGGAGTAAACTGAGACACACCAATTCTCTAAGAATAAATGGAAAAGCCAGATAAATACAAACAGCATCTCTATAAAGCAATCCAAGAGCTGCTAGAGCATCGAGGCTGGAGGGGCCAAGATTCCACAGAGGGAACTGCAAAATGGAGAGTTTTTTCCTTGGCCAGCTGGAGGTGCTTACTGATTCTCAGTAGAAGGCTGAGCACCTGGGCTTTGCCTGGGTCAAGGGTCATCATTGGGAGGGGGGGCAAAAGAAAAAAAAACAGTTATATTTTGGATTCTCACAGGACTCAAGAGACAAAACTGAAATCTTGGAGAGCCAGGATTTCAGAAAGAAGAAAGGAAGGGAGAACTGAGGGGCCCTGATGGTTCCCCTCAAAATTTTGCTGAATTAGGAAGCTGTAATACTTGGTATAGGAGGTTAGGATGAGAAAATCACTGTTTTTCAGAAGTTTTCTGCTTAGCATCTTTACCTACCCAGCAGAGATGAGAGTCATAGCACCAAAATCCAAGAAAAAAATACACAATAGAAACCAGCCCACAGGTAATTCATGTATTAGATTATCAGGCAAAGTCTTTGATTCAAATATTCAAAAATGGGACTTCCCTGGTGGTCCAGGGGTTAAGACTCCATGGACTCAATGGGTGGGTATGGGCTCAATCCATGGTCGGAGAACTAAGATCCCACATGCTGCACAGTACAGCCACCCCCTAAAAATTTTCCCCCCAAATGACAAAAATATAAAAGAATTTCTCCAGGGGATCAGAATCTGTTTCTAATGGAAATTCTGGAACCAAAAAATAGAATCACTGAAATCAAGAGCAGTCTGGGAAATCAAGAGCAGGTAGAACTACGTCTGTGCACAGATACTGAGGTTGGCTCAGGACGTGATTGAGTTTCATCTCTGGAGCCCCGGTCTCAGTGCTGGAATCCTAAGATCTAAACCAGACTCAAAGGGTTTGTGCACACATGAAGGGGAAAAAAAAAAACTTTTCACAGAGCAGAAGGAGAGGGTGGGATGAACTGAGAGAGTAGCATTAACATATACATACTACCATGTGTAAAAGAGACACCTAGTGGGAAACTGCTTTATATAACACAGGGAGCCCAGCCGGTGCTCAGTGACAACCAAAGTATCTTTCACTTAGTGTCTGTTTGGCTTAAATATGCACTAAATCAAAACACTATTCAACAAAGAACTTAAAAATATTTGGTAAAAATGACATGTAGGAAAAAAATAGATAGAAAGAGAGATTAAGAACAATCCAGCTGGGGCGTATCTGGGAGGGATGCATAATAAACAAGACAAAACAAAAACAATACTGGAACCGTTCTGGATTACTATGCCCAGGCACTATCGACTTAAATAAACCATTAACTCGGGGGGAGAGGAGGTGGACATTGTCAAGAGAACAGAAGAATGGATGTGCAAGGTTGATTTCCCACTACAAGGCTCCGGTGCCTGCGTGGTGTCTGGACCCAGGCATTTTAGGTTAGATAGAACTCTACAGCATACTGGGCAGAGAACACGGAGTTCTACCTAGACGCTAAAATGTCCAACAAGCTGGGCAACCTCAAGGAAATCTCTTTGTACGAGAGATTCCTAAAGTCGAAAATAGGAGACGGGATTAGTAACCCTGAAGATCTACACGTCTAACTCTGATGTTATAAACAAGGGATCACACACATCTCCTTCCTTCAGAAAAGGCCAGTCCTCAGCCTTCGAGCCGTCCCGGTTTTCGGCACATCTGCATTAGCTCGGGGGATGGACCCCGCACAAAGCACCGCCTTACTAACGCCTCATCAACCCCGGTCTCGAGCAGGCCTTCAGCGCCCCGCGCCGGGGGACTTCTCAGACCTTCCTCCACCTCCCCGGAACGCCCGACCTCGGCTGGGACCCGGGAACCCGCGACTGTGTTTCCTCCCTGAACAGATAAAATCACCTGGGGCATCTAGGCCTAAGCTTCGCGTCCGCCGCGGCCTCCAAGAGGAGAGTTGAGGGGGAAATCGACTCCCTCGACGATCTCCGCGGCCTGGACCCGCCCCCTCCGCCTGGCGCCAGGCTGCGGAGGGCCGATCGGCTCGATGAGCGGGGGCGCAGCTGCGACTGAGCGGCCAACGCCGGGTCCGCGCCCACTGTCTCCCCTCCCCGCTCTCTTCTTCCGAGTCCCACTCCTTCCCCCGCCCGTCCAGCGCCGCCCGCCCGGGAGAGCTGCCGGGAGCTCCCCGGGAGACTCAGGTACGGCCATCCTCCTGGGCCCGACGGGAGGGGCGGATGTGCGAAGGAAACGGAGACGACGTCCGTGCCCCACCGCCCCCAACGTCGCGTCGGGCTGAAGGGCCGGCCTCGGGGGTCGCAGAGTGGGAAAAGGCTGGGGTCGGATGGGCGGGTTACCCTGAGGAAGAACGAACGGGACCTGGGTGTTCAATGAGGGGCAGTTAAGGGGGAGAAGAATAGGAATTGTAGGGTGCTCTGGGGAGATGGGAGGACAACAGCGGAGGGAATAGGGAAGACTGGAGAAACCCGGAATGTGAGTGCGTATCTTGGGGTAGAAAGGACTAGAGTCAGGAGCAGATGGCAGGGGGACGTGACCCGGTGCGACTGATGCGGGGGCGGGTGAACGGGGCTGCTCGCTGGAGGGATGGATTTATTTCTTTATTCAAAGGCTGGGGAGAGAGCGCGCCAATCCCGTTGCGTTTATAATGACCGGAAGGGTGAGGTGAATCGTTAACACTTTGACAGCTTTTATGAAGAACGTCTCCAGGCTGTGTCCATCCAAGTCACTTATTTCCGTGAAACTGCACCAACCAAGATTGCTGATGAGACTTTAGGAAGAGGAATCAGAAAGGGAACGGAGGCCGGGGAAAGGGAGCCCTCTCTACAGATTTCAAGCTTTTTGTAAAATGAAATACTAGGGGTTTTGGTTTGCTTGTTGTTTGCGTAAAGCAAAAAAGAAGCCAACATTTACTAAACAACAGGTTAGAAGTATATTACGTACTGCCTCTTCAAAAAATACAGGAAATTGTGAACGTATGATGATGGCATAAGCTTATGGTGATGTGACATTAGAAAAATGTATTGGTGATGTTGAAATGCATCACTGAAGGTTCTGTTGCTTACATATATACCTAGACACAAACACCTGAATTTATATGTATTTTGGGCAGGAGAGATCTATGGAGAATATGTATAAGTCTAATTTCTGAACATGGTTTATATATCATCAAATATCATCATTTGCCCTGATTATTAAGTGCAGTTAATAATCTGCCTGCTGCTTTGCTGATGGCTTTTATGTTTGTCAGTCGTTGATTTCTTGCCTTCATGAAGCTGATTCTTGGATTAATGGGCCCTGAATTTGGGTTTGCTCATCGTTAAACTTGTAGTTTTACTGTACGTTTCACAAAGATGTTATGTAAGTCTGCCTGCTATTTGCTTTTGGATGTTGAAGCAGCCCTTTTGTAGGGTTTAAAATATAAATAAAATACAGGTATAAGTAAAAGCTCGAGTCCTTTGGTTGCTTCTTCTGTCATCTGTTTCTCCATACTTTCTGTAACATTTCTGCATGAATGAATTATTCAGAAATCGAAGTATGAGGAATAAAATGGGTCAGATGCCAGATGTGCGTGACAGAAATATTGTAGAATGAAGAACTCTAGAGCTGTTACTTAGGTAGCAAGTACTTGGTTTTTGTTAGAAGTGATTAAGTTTCTGGCTTGGAAAATTATTTCTTATCAAAGAAAAGTGTTTGTATCAATTTGTTTGGATGGGAAGTCAACTTAAGATTTTGCTTTATCTGGTTTATGAAACTGGACTCTGGGCTTGTTTATTCTTTTTTAAGTGAATGATACTAACCACCAAACTGATGTCTATGCTTAAAGATCTTAGAGGTGGTTCTGTGCAAAGGGAAAGAGGGCTGCTGGGTTGTTACAGGGAAATGGTCTTTATAGAACAGAATTGTGTAACCTGATAGACAATTTATTGAGTAAATACTGAAATTGATCATGCACAGTCATTAATAATTTAGGCCTATTTTTCTGCTATTTCAATCAGTAGAGTGACTAACACTGTTACTTATCTTTTACCGAGCCTTAGTTTTCTCTTGGTTTCTTGGTGCTTACTTCAAAGAAGTGTTGTAAAGAATAAAAAATGTGTCTAAGTTACTGAGCACAGTGCCTAACACATAGTAAAATATTCAGTACACCTTAGCTATTCTCATTATTCATCCATCTTCTTGTCCAAGATACTGAAAACTTCTGTTTGCATATGTCAGCTTTTCCTCAAGAAAATTTTGAATATGTTGCATATTCAAGCATTTTCCTGGAAAAACTCAATGCAAATAAGCATTTTTAAAACAGACTTTCTGTAGCAAACTGAAAACCTGATTTTGTTTAACACAGCACTTAGCAAGCATATCCCTTTCCTTGGAGCATCTGGTGTTGTGCATTGGAACAGGGCATTATAATTTATAGAATATTTTTGCATGTATGTATTAATTTGATATGACCATCCCAACTCCATGCAGAAGCCTAGAAATCACTGTTTTACAGATGGGGAAACAGAATCATTGTTGATGCAACTCACTAAAAGTGAGTGAGAGAATTTGCTGTCTTCTGACTCCAAATTAAAATCTTTAAGCATCTGATGTCTCACTTGCAAGGGGACAATCTCTTGTTTTTCTCTCCTCTCCTATGCAGTCTTCTGTTTCATTTTATAAAAATGTTGTCACTGATTTTCTCCACATGCTCTCTAAAAGTTACCTCCATTTTTCCCAGGGTTTTAACTATTTTTTGTGTACTGAGTCCTCGCATGGAGGGAGGCCAGGGTCACTGGTGCGGAGACCCTGTGAGCGAGAGCAGTTGAAGTCAGAGAAGTGGAGGGGGCCCCATCACATCGGGCCTTGTGTGCTGATTTTACTACTTTAGCTTGCACCCCAAAGTTTCATATCTGATGGAATTTATTTTCTCTTTAAGGTGGTAAAGATTTATCCTGCTGGGAAGTAGAAGAGTACCTCATTAAAAAAGATGCCTCCCAAGTTCAAGCGCCACCTAAATGATGATGATGTCACAGGTTCTGTGAAAAGTGAAAGGGTAAGTTCAGGATCTTAATCTTTAAAAAGGAAAGATTCAAAATTTGTTTTCCTTTGTAAATAATTTTAGAAAAATCTAATGTTTATGGCTATATTTGAATCCTATATGTTTTCTTAATGCTGCTGCTAAGTCACGTCAGTCGTGTGCAGCCCTGTGCAACCCCATAGACAGAAGCCCACCAGGCTCCTCTGTCCCTGGGATTCTCCAGGCAAGAACACTGGAGTGGGTTGCCATTTCCTTCTCCAGTGAATGAAAGTGAAGTGAAAGGGAAGTCACTCAGTCGTGTCCGACTCTTAGCGACCCCATGGACTGAAGCCCACCAGGCTCCTCCATCCATGGGATTTTCCAGGCAAGAGAACTGGAGTGGGGTGCCATTGCAAGTATATGTTACTTAGATTGGGACTCAGCCAAATTATATTTCTATTAATGACCATATTTTGTTCCCAGCTTCTTTCTAGTCTTTCAAAGGGAATTTCGTATAAATACAGAATACCTTCTTTCAGATTCTGGAGCCAAATGTGGTTGGAGTTCCTCAGAATTTTTCAGATTTTACAAAGGTAGTTAGTGCACATTTTACAAGAGTCTTCTGGGGGAGTCTCGAGCAGCACCTCCAAACATACTAATGTTTCTCAGTGAAATGTCTGGTTATTCTAAGTATATAAATAAATTAGCTAACATCAATTCAGGTCAGCTTTTCCCCAAGTGAGTTTTGACTCCAAAACTTAAAAAATCTTTTGGTTTTCAAAACTTTTTAGCTTTTGGAATTGCAGATAAACAATTCTGATCCTGCAGTTGCCTCAGAGCCAGAGTAGCTTTTATATAAGGTTCAATTTCTTGTTTATTTTGGAATATTCTATGCAGAGTTGTATAAATCTAGAAATTATGCAGCATTTTGGAAGATAACGTTGATACTAATATTGTAGATAGCTTTCTTTTAGAATAAGTCATCAATAAGGGTTTGTTGAAGGGAGGAGTTAGAGCTATTGTTTTTCATTCATCCACCTGAAGCCCTCCCTCGATTCCTGTCTTCCTGCCATTCCTTTATTTGCTGATTCATGCAACAGATAAATATTGCTACCTATTATATGCTAGGCATTGTGCTAAAAACTGGAGGGCATGGTCTCTCCTCTATACATCTGATAGTCTACTTGACTTCATTTTTCACACTCCTTTTTTGCACAAAGAGCTCCTGTCCCACATGTTATGATTTAGAGGTATCTTGAAATATAGTATAGGAATCATTTGTGATCCTTTTATTCTCTTTCTGCAGTTTTTATTTTGCTTGAAGGGGGATAGAATCCACCAATAGACAAATTGCTAGTAAACTTTTTAAAATAAACTTTATGTATATACTCAACAATATAAGATATGCAGTCTGAATCAGTTCTACTGCAAAGAATGGCACTTCCTTTCTACATTGTTGGTTGACTACTACCACAATTTGCTGTAAAAATAGGATATTAGATACCAGAATTGAACAAAATTGGCCGTTTAGAATCCTCCTTTTGAATGTTAATCAGACCATGACATTTGATAACTGGTTCTAAGAATTTATAAATCACTTTTATAAAACTTTTTAACTTTTGTTCCTCTTTTCTGTTACACTTTTTTTGCTAATAGCTTTATTGAGACATAATTCACATGCCATACAATTCACTCACTAAAAGTATACAATTCAGTGGATTTTAGTAAGTAATATTTAGTACAGAATTATATAATCATCACCACAGTCAATATTAGGACTCTTACATCTTTCCAAAAAGAAACTCTGTACTTTTTAGCAATCAACCCCTGTTCTCCTCATCCCTTCAACCCTAGGCAACCACAGATCTATAGCTTTGTCTATTCTGGATATTTTATATAGATGGGAGCATACACTATGTTGTCTTATTGTAAATGACTTCCTAGCATGTTTTCATCCATGCTGTAGTATGTATCAGTACTTCATTCTTTTTTATTGCTGAATAATATTCCAATATATGAATGTCTCACACTTTATTCATTCATCAGTTAATGAACATTGGGGCTTATTTACATTTTTTTGGCCATTATGAAGAATACTACTGCTATGAACATTCACATACAAGTTTTGTTTTCATTTCATTACATATATTTTCATTTCTCTTGGGTAAATACCTAGGAGTAGAAGTACTTGGTACTATAGTAACTCCGTGTGCAGCCTTTTGAAGAACTGCCAAACTATTTTCCAGAATGGCTGTACAGTTTTTACATTCCCGCCCAGGAATGTGTAAGAGTTCTAATTTCTCCGCATTTCTCCTCACCACCAATCTCTGCTCATCAGCACTTGTCACTATCTGCCTAGTCGGTGTGAAATGATATCTTATTGTATTACATAACCCTTTTTGTGATAATGTATACTTAGCACTTGTGTTTGTTCAGTGGATAAGTGTAAAGACATTGGTTTTCATTGTGTTTCTTATTGGGCAACTGTAATAAACACTGTATCTTTAGTATACAGGGCAAATAAGCTGTGTTATGAATGTAATGATTGTCTGTTACTTATTAGCTACAATAGCATTCTAGAAATATTTGTTGAAAGAAGTCACTAATGTATCTTCCTATATATTATTAATTTTGAACATCTTTTCATGTGGTCATTGGCCATTTCTTTTCTGTTAGGAATTGTCTATTTCTCTCCTCTGATGATTTTTCTGTCTTGTGTCTTTTTCTCACTGGTTTGTCAGAGATCTTTATTTAATAGAGATATAAGACCCTTCAGTCTGAAAGTATGTTGCAGATTTCCTTCCTGACCTTTTACTTTTTGTTAGAATTTGCTAGTATATCTCCTGCATCTCTCTCTTTTTTCCATTCTTTATTTGACATTTATTTTAGGTCAATTTCTTATAAACAGATACTAGCTGGAATTTTTTTGAACTTCACATACAGTTTTTACCTTTAATAGGAGCCTTCAGGCCATTCATATTTATTGTGAAAACTAATTTATTTGGACATTTTCTGCACTAGCTGGTCCCTCTGCTGGCAGTGAATGCTCTTCACCTTAATCTCTGGTTGGCTCTTTGATATTGTTTGGATCTCAGCCTAAATTTCACCTTTTGAGAATGATTTTCCTTGACAGCCTAATCTCATTTAGTCACCCTGTCACTTTTTATCCCATCACTGTTTTAATTCTCTGCATAACTTTTATCACCATCAGATGTTTTTCTTTAAGAGCTCAGACCTTGTCTGTCTTGTTCAAAGCTGGTGCTTGGTCCTTAGAACAGTGCCTGGTACACAGAAGGTGCTCAAACATATTTGTTAAATGAATATTGAGCAATCCTCTTTTCATTTTTCTTGCTGTTTGTATATTATTTATAATAATATATAGAGATAATGATATTCGTGATATTATTTTTATTCATTTATTTTTTGGCTGTACTGGGTCTTTGTTAAAGTTCATGGTCCCTTTGTTGCGGCACACGGGCTTTCTCTTCAAGAAGCAAGGGCTTCTCCTTGATTTTCGTGGACTTAGTTGCCCCACGGCATGTGGGATCTAACTTAGACCAAAGATCGAACCTGCGTCCCCTGCATTGGCAGGCAGATTCTTAACCACTGGACCACCAGGGAAGTCCTTCATTATATTTCTTAGGTTTTCCCAAGTTTCCCTAACTTCTTTTGCTAAGTTGATTATTTTTCCTTACTTTTCCCCTACCCGCCCGACCACTAGACAGTTAAAAAATTTCTTCCCTTCCTCCCCTTTTCCTTCTCTTTCTTTTACTAACTTTACATGTTAACATGTGTGCATACTAAGTTGCTTCAGTTGTATCCAACTCTTTGCAACCCCATGGATTGTAGCCCACCAGGCTCCTCTGTCCGTGGAATTTTCCAGGCAAGAGTGGGTTGCCATTTCCTTCTCTAGGGGATCTTCCATCCCAGGGATCGAACCCATCTCTCCTGCATTGGCAGGCAGGCTCTTTAGCAATAGCACCACATGGGAAACCTGTACGTGTTAGCAATAATGTTTAAATTTGTGTTTTCTGTCAACATGCTGAGAACTATGCCCCTCTGGACTACTTTTCATTCTAGGCCTCTTCCTCCTTCCTCCACTTCTCTCCCCACCGAGATGAGCAGGTCACTTTGCTGTTACTTCCCCACTTTACTCTCCTCTTCCTGCTTTTGGGTTTTGTTAGAGAAGTTTGAGATTCTTTTAAAGTTTTTCTTTATATTACATGTTTTCTTTTTCAATAGCTGTGCATTATAGTTCACAATCACATTATCATCTTCCCTTTAGATTTGACCACACATTTTATTAGACATACTGAGTATATCAATCTCCATCTTAAGATCTTTGTTCTGATAGAATTTTCTTCTTAGCCAGTGTAATTCCTTGGGTAATTTTCTCAGAAAAGGTACATGGGTGGTGTATTTGCTTCCTATGGCTGCTGTAACAAATTGCCACAAATTTAAAACAACACAGACTTATTATCTTATAGTTCTAGTGACCAGAAGTCCAAAGTGGATCTTACTGGGCTACAGTCAAGGCACTGACAGGACCGTGTTCCTTCAGGAGACTAGGAAAGAAGCTGTTTTCTTGCTTTTCCCAGCTTTTAGAGGCTGCCTGCCCTGTGTGGCTCATGCCCCTTCCTGTATCTTTAAATCCAGCTGTGTAACGTCTTCCAGTGTCCCCTGCCTCTCTTTCACTTCTGCCTCCCTGTCTTTTTTTAAGTTTGTTTGTTTACTTTTATCTATTTGTTTTTAGCTGTGCTGAGTCTTTGTTGCTGCATGTGAGCTTTCCCTAGTTGCAGCAAGTGGGGACTTCTCTTTTTGAGGAGCGCAGGCTCTGGAACGCATGGGCCTCAGTGGCTGCAGCCTGCGGGCTCAGTAGTTGGTGCTCATGGGCTCTAGAGCGTGGGTTCAGTAATTGTGACACTCGGGCTTAGTTGCTCAGGGGCGTGTGGAATCCTCCCAGACCAGGCAGGGATCGGGTCCTTGGCTCCTGCATTGGCCAGTGGATTCTTTACCACTGAGCCACCAGGGAAGCCCTGCCTCTCTCTTTTTGGGTGGAGAGGGAGGTGGGAGGGGGGATCGGGATGGGGAATACATGTAACTCCATGGCTGATTCATGTCAATGTATGACAAAACCCATTGAAATGTTGTGAAGTAATTAGCCTCCAACTAATAAAAATAAATGAAAAAAAAAAAAGAACTCTCTGATGACTGGCCTCACATGGTTAATCCATATTGACCTTCCCACCTCAGGATCCTTGGTTTATCGCTTCTGCAAAGTCCCTTTCACCATGCAAGGGAACATAGTCAAGGTTTCCGTGATTAGCACGTCGACATCTGTGGGGAGGCACTATTCTCCCTACAAAGTATATACTGTTGGAGGTCTTGTATGCTGAAAAGATTTCGTTTTTGCTCTTCTTTAGCCTCCTTTTGGAACTTTATATCTTTGCTTTTGGGGGAGAAGGTGAGACGTTCCTCATTTTAAGAAAAATTGTTGTATCTTATAAGGTAAAAGTATATTAAGTTGGTTTTGTTTGGAAGTTCAAATATGTGTAGAGGGCTGTTCATGGGCTGAGTCACTGTTAGGTGCCAATTGTTATGCCTTGTCTCTGAGCTTCAGAACCTACCGTATATACTCCTCTCTCTGATGCTGAAGTTGGACTCTGCAACTGCAGTACATTTCTCCTTTGCCTCCTGACTCCTTCTTAGGTTCTGTAGATAGATAGATACTGGAAGGCAGAGGGAGGAGAAAGGACTTGCTCCTTCCTGATTGCCTGCGTTCCTTACTCCCACACCAGCTTCAGTGACCTCTCTCTACCTTGGGGTCAGTCAGTCAGAGGATTCTGTGTCACAAGCATTTTCTTAGAAAGCCTGCACTGCGGTTTCCTATCTTTTAGCTTTTGGTGAAGCACATGTGATTATCCTTCCCTCTGTCTGGAAGCGTGGAGTTAAGAAATTTCACCAGGATAGAAATTGTTTCATTGCTCCGTCCCTGACAATTTGTAAGCCCCTGGGAATCTGAAAACTCAAGTCTTTTTCTTTTTTTGGCAGAGAAATCTTTTAGAAGATGATTCAGACGAAGAAGAGGACTTTTTTCTGTAAGTTATTTTTGTTTGATTTACATCTTTATTGAGGTGTAACTGACATACAGTAAAATACATATAAACAGTACAATATGCATTTTGACATATCCACTGTATGCCTGTGAAATCATCAGAAAAATCAAATAATGAACATTGCCATCACCTCAAAAGTTTCATGAAATCTCTTGGTAATCTGTCACTTTTCCAGTCCACGGGCAGCCACTGGTTTGCTTTCTATCACTGTAGTTTGTATTGTCTAGATTTTTTTGATAAGTGGAATCATACAGTATGCCTTTTTTTTTTTTTACTGGCTTCATTCACTCTGTATAATTATTTTGAGACTCACCCTTGCAGTCACATGTATTAGTAGTTTCACCCATGCTGTCCCATGTATCAATAGTTTGTCTCTGTTTATTTTTGGGTAGTTGTCCATTATATGAATACTTACCCATTCAATTATTGATGGATATTTGGGGTGTTTCTAGTTTTTAGCTATTATAAATAAAACTGCTGTAAACATTTGTGTACAGGTTTTGTGTGGACTTATGCTTTCATTTCTCTTGGGTAAATACTTAGGATGGTAAGTATGTTTACTTAACATACATAACATAAAATTTATGTTTAAATGGCTAGTATATGTTTACAGCTGTTTCCCAAAGTGGTGTGTACCACTTTATGTTCCCACCAGCATTGTATGGGAGTTCTGGTTGTTCCAAATCCTCATCACCACTGTGTATAGTCAGTCTTTTAATTTTAGCCACTCTTGTTGGTGTATAGTGGTATCCCATTATGGTTTTTATTTGCATTTTCCTAACTGCATATTATGCTAAACAACTTCTTTTGTGCGTATTTATGGTTTTCATGTTTTCTTTCATGATGTATATGTTAAAATCCTTTGCCCAATTCTGAGTTTGTCTTACTAAGTTGTAGGAGTTTTTTTTTTTAATATGTTTTACAAGTTCTTTATCAGATAAATGTTTTTACAAACATTTACCCCTAGTCTGTAATTTAATCTTTTCATTTTCATAACTATCTTTTGAAGAGCAGAGTTTTAATTTAATCAGTTTATTAAATTTTTTCTTTTATTATTTTTGCTTATTTAAGAAATCTTTGCCAAACCCAAAGATTCTAAGATTTTCTTCTCTGATTTCTTCCAGAAGTTTTAACATTTTGGCTTTTACATTTAGGTCTATAATCTGTTGTACATTAGTTTTTTATATATGGAATTGAGGTAAAAGTGAAGGATAATTTTAGGAGGGGCCAGGGGGCATATGGCTATTTGTGCCACCACCATTTGATGAAAAGATTATCTTGTCCCCATTGAATTGCCCTGATGCTCTGTCAGAATTAATTAACTTGAGCCATCCTTTGCAGTTACAACTAGAAAGGGCCTCAGTTTTAATTGCAAAGACAGGAAGGATGACATATTGTTATAGGAGTTTTCTCTGAAGGTTGATGTAGCAGGGTAAGCCTGGGAGGAAGCATTTACCTCCCTCTGCTATAATGTTGTTTTTGTAAAGACTTCCCCTCCCCAAATAAAAAACACTTTATAAAAGTAGTTGTCAGCCATGAGGCAATCGACAAACAGAGCCTACAGGAGGGAAAGCAAGTCCATTAAGAGGAGATAGTATCATTTCTGGCAGCAAGGTCAGATGAAGTGGGAAGAATATTTCCTATAGGTAACAAAACTTCCAGAGTCACAAAGATAATTGCTAACAGTGCCAATTTCAGTGAGAATCCTTAGACTGCAGCAATAGCTACCTGTGAACAAAGGACTCATTATTGAAAAGAAGGTCAGATGCTTTGGCCAAATAAGTGATTACCTTAAGCAAGAAACAGACTTTTCAGGCCAGCTCTGTACACTGGAGGTTTACTCCCAAATAATGCTGTACAACTTCCAAAGGGCCTGATGACAAAACCGGCACACTTGTTCAAAATCAGCTCCCATACACGGTGGTTCTGTCTGTGTACTGAAAGGGAAACAAAGCAAGTAACATTCCGAAATAATTTTTAAAGATTATTCAACACTACTTTCATAGCAGGATTATTCATAATTGCGAAAAGGTATAAGTAACCCAAGTGTCTGTCAATGGATAGATGGATAAAATATGGTATGCACATACAATGGAATAGTACTCAGTCTTAAAAAGGAAATTCTGAAACACACTGCAAATGAATGAACCTTGAAGACGTTATGCTAAGTGAAAGAAGCTGATCATAAAGGATACATCTCACATGATTCTTCTTATCTGAGACACCTACAGTAGTCAGATTCATAGAGATACAAAGTAGGATGGAGGTTGCCAAGGACTGGGAGTAGAAGAAAATGGTAATGTTTAATTGGTCAGAATCTATTCTTTGAGTTTTGTGGTTTATACCTTATTTTCTATCATCGGAAGAAGGAAAAGTACTTAAAATATCCCCCAATTTTTATTTCCAGCATATTAAAATGAATTGGTTTAAATGATACAACACTTGACTATAATGGAGAGATAATTTGAGAAATGTTAATATTTTCATAGACTCCTACATTTCCCTTTAGTTATGTTGCTAAGTTTAAGATGAGTAATCAAAAAACATACTTTAAAAAACTTAGTGTTTTGAATGGATTTTTCTCTATATTCATCCCCGAAAGTTAACATTTCATTAGAGCCTAAATTCAAGGTAACTGGACTTAGAGTGGTCTGTGTGCTTAGTCGCTCAGTCGTGTCCAACTCTCTGCAACCTTATAGACTGTAGCCTGCCAGGCTCCTCTGTCCATGGGGATTCTCCAGGCAAGAATACTGGAGTGGGTTGCCATGCCCTCCTCAAGGGGATCCTCCCCACCCAGGAATCAAACCCAGGTCTCTGCATTCCAGGTGGATTCCCTGAGTCACCAGGGAAGCCCAGGAATCCTGGAGTGGATAGCCTATCCCTTCTCCAGGGGCTCTTCCTGACCCAAGAATGGAACCGGGGTCTCCTGCATTGCAGGCAGATTTTATAATTGATCATAAAGTTATTCATAATCCCTAGCACTTTGGTTGTTGTGGTATTTCAAAGTTTAATGATCAGAATATCTGTGGTAACTAAGAATTATATTGAAACTGATAACATTCAGAAGAATTGGGTTGTGACAGCCTGTACTAAGTACCAGTGAAGTACAGACATGATTATATATCGTTAAGTTCTATCAATACTAGTAAAATCTGGTTCCTTATGATGAATGATCCATGTTTAGAATTCAATGTGTGTGTGTGTATTTTCTGCTTTGGTGTCTGTTTTAATGCTCTCCTTATTAATTGTATTTGGTGTTTTTTGGTTTTTTTCAGAAGAGGACCATCTGGACCAAGATTTGGACCCAGAAATGATAAAATTAAGCAGTAAGTTTGTGAGATACTTATTTGTTTAAAAGATTGTCATATTTGTACCTGGACCAGGGGTTGGCAGACTACAACCTATGGGCCAAATCTAGTTTTTATAAAGTTTTATTGAAACAGCCATTCCTGTTATCTTAGTTGCTTTCAGACTATAATGACAGATTTCAGTAGTAGTGACAAGAGACTTTATGATCCACAAAATCTAAAAACTCTATTCTGTCTTATCTTTTACAGAAAAAAATTGCTGAGCCTTGATGTAAACTAATATTCTAGGTTGTAAAAACCCAGTCATTCTTTTTATTTACACAGAGCTACCTCTTAATTATAGCTAAGGAAATGCAGTTCCTGGTTGTTGATTTTTATTTCTATATATCAAATTCATTTATTTAGCATAATCTCAAGGTCTATTTTGGTTTTAAATCTATAACATGATTCCCATTTTCAGCATGATAATAAAAGAAACATAATAGATTTAGTTTTCTGAAGTATGGTATCTTTTTTATATACTTCCAGAATTTATTCATTTCTATTACTTATCCTAATCCATTTATTGATCTAAGGTTTTTTTAAAATAATTTTATTATTTATTTTTGTCTGTGCTGGGTCTTTGTTGCTCTGTGGTCTTTTCTCTAGTTGTGGTGAGCAGGGGCCACTCTAGTTTGATGTGCAGGTTTCTCATCATGTGGCTTCTCTCGAGGTGCATGGGCTTAGTTGCTCCGAGGCCTGTGGGATCTTCCCAGATCAGGGATAGAACCCATGTCTCCTGCATTGGCAGGTGAATTCTTTACCACTAAGACACCAGGGGAGCCCTGATCTAAGTTTTATGGCTCCTTAATTTTCAGTTTAAAGCTTTTCTGTATATATTATTGGTGGTAGATGGTGGGTAATGCTATAGTGAATGTATTTAATGTAAGAAGTATATGAGTCCAGACAAGAAGGAAGCAGGAGCAACTGGAGAAGTGAAACAGCCCTGGAAAATTACCCACCTATAAAAAATAAACTGGAAGATAAACCGAATGGCCCAGGCTCAAGATCTGAGGAAGGGTAGTTGCTCCCCTAAGTCTGGATGTAGATGGCACATAGTGAGATGGGTGCTATAATATTGTGTCAAGTTATTGATGAGATACTTGGGTTTTAGTCACAGAGCCATTGGAATGAAGAAATAGGCCCACACTTAGCCAAATCCTAGTTAATGGATTCTGAAATACAGAATCACGGTAGCAACAAATTGGTATACTAAATGGGATGTTTTCATTTTTTCTTGCTGCATAACAAGTTACCCTGAACCTAGCAGCCTGAAACAACACACATTCATCAACCCACATTTTCCATGGGTCAGGGGTTCAGTCACTGCTTAGCTGGGCCCTCTGTGCAGGGTCTCACAAGGCTGAAATCAGGGTGTTGCCCGGGCTTTGATCTCGTCTGAAGCTCCTGACCAAGTTCAGGTAGTTGTTGATAGGGTTCACTTCCTTGCAGCTGTAGAACCCACAGTGCTCGCTCCTTCAAGGCCAGCAGAAGAGAGTCTCTGCTGCTTCAAGGGTCCGTTTCAACAGTCAGGATACAGTGAGCCACTTGGATCCAGACAGTTTATTACTCACATAGGTTGTCAAAGGAAGAGTAGCCAAAGGTGCCAGTTCCCTGGGTTCTTGTCCTATACACCAAAAATGATTATAGGAGGCTGCAGTCTGAGCTGTGAGATACCCTGTTACAAAGAAGCCAGTTCCAGCCCAGGTTTATAGGGGTTTATAGTCTGCAGATATATCCTGCAGAAAGCTTCATGTGTCATCAGACTGTCTCATGACAGTCTCCAGAGGGAGGTGGAGAGGTGAGTAAGAGATGGCCTCACAAGTCACTCACCCTCTCATGTTCCGGAAGTACCACAACACATTCAAGGTTGCGAGGATGCCATGGCAGAGAGGTTTTCCTTCTTTGAGCCTTGGTGACTTCTCTGTCCACCCACATGTATACCTCACCTGCCGTTGGAGAAGAGGGCTCCACTGGTGACACATCTATTTTTTCCCTGCCAATATGCTTCATTTCCTGTCTGACATCTTTCCCCAGACTGAGCCTGGTACTGAGTATGGCCCAGTAAATCTTCTCAGTATGACTTTCTGGCTGAACTCCTAAACCAGTGTTGGTTGTACATAGTGGGCATTGCAGACTGTGTCTGTATTAGTAAGTGCCAAGCACACATACATGTGAATATGGATATGTGCATAGTAAATTATCACAATAACTTTGATAACAGAATTTTAGAACAGTAAGGGACAGTTGAGTTCTTTCTCTAGAGCTGAAGGCTTATCAGATTTACTTAGAAGGTGATCAGTCATCAAAACACACAATTGAAACCTTATTGGCACAACCCCATGAGTACTTATCTAACCAGGGCATGACTCAAACGTGTGTCCGAAATGGCCCCAAATCATGGAGCATAACATGCCACACCACTTGCCCAAGGACAGATACCTGGCATTTATTTATGAATAGTAACTAAAATTGCTAGCACTGGTGAGTTTCTTTAAGGTGTGTGATTACCACTTAATATGTAACATTTCCATACAAGGTGTGGATCAGCAGCATTGTTGCTTTGTTCAAATTTGACTGACATACTGATAACATTAATTCCACAAAAAATGCCCAGTGTCCCTTTTCTTCCTTTATTGAAGTTTAGTTGTTTTACAGTGTACAGCAGAGTGATTCAGTTATATATATATGTAAATGATCTGAAAAAGTATATATATTCTTTATCATATTCTTTTCCACTATAAATTATTATAAGATATTGCATAGAGTTCTTTATGCTATAGAGTAGGTCCTTTTAATGGGTTTGTTAGTATTCCAGTGTCACTTTTTAGAGAAGATTTTTGGGAAAGATCTTAAATATTCACATGCCTATTTAAAAATTTATGATTCTCTTTAGAATGTTTCCTTTGCTTTTAAATTAAATAATAGCATTCTAAATGCCACTCTAGTGAATTGTCGACATTCTCTTCCATGGGTAGGAAGTCTCCTAACTATATATAGCCTTGGTCTAAACAGTTTTAATTTTATAAGGTCCCCAAGGAATGTTCAGGGAGGGCAATGGCACCCCACTCCAGTATTCTTGCCTGGAAAATCCCATGGATGGAGGAGCCTGGTAGGCTGCAGTCCATGGGGTCACTGAGAGTCAGACACGACTGAGCGACTTCACTTTCACTTTTCACTTTCATGCATTGGAGAAGGAAATGGCAACCTATTCCAGTATTCTTGCCTGGAGAATCCCAGGGACGGGGTGCCTGGTGGGCTGCCATCTATGGGGTCACACAGAGTTGGACACGACTGAGGTGATTTAGCAGCAGCAGCAGCAGCAAGAAATGTTCCATGATGAACAGCAAAAATATAAAACTGCAAAAATACAACATACCTTTTAAACTTCTTTTGTCAACAGTACCTTAAGAGACCACAAGATGGGGTGTTAACTATGCAAATAAATATTTGCTTTATAAAATAAGGTATGAGTGTGTGTAGCAGAGCATGAACTTTTTTGTTTTCTTAATGGAAGAACACTGACATTAAACACACACTAAACATTAGGAACCATGCTAAGTGTTTAAAAAAAACTGTCACATATAATTCTCATAAGGAAAAGACTATCATCTTCATTTTATTTATTTTTTTAAATTTTACTTTACAATATTGTATTTAAAGGTGAGAAAATACGAGGTTCAAAGAGGCTTGCAAAGCCACATACATAGTAAGTGATGACACTGAATTGCAAACCCAGATCTTTCTGCATCCAGAGCCTGGGCTTTCTACACTACATCATGCAGCTTCCCTATAGTGGTGATAATTAGAGACATTTCTGGAGCTCAAGTGCTGTCAGACTCTTAAGGAGGATTAAAAACAACGTTAAAATGTCTTCTCTCTGTGTACCTTTATATTTTCCAGGGTAGGTTCTCTCTTGTGTCCTTTCTTCTACCGCATGACTGTTTAACTGGAAATGAGATAAATCTCCACCCCTTCCTTCAAAAACTTGCTTTTCCTTTGAGTCCTTAATTTTATTTTCCAGTTAATGACCATCATCTATATCTACTCAGTTGTTCAGTTTATAAATCTAGAAGTTCTCTACCCTTTTCTTGCCCTAACTCCTTCACTCATATCCAGTTCCTGAAATATCCAGTTCCTGAAATATTCCCTCCTCTTATTCCTTTAGCCTAGAAATTTCCCACCATCCATCACCTTTTTCTTTTTTAAACTATGGCCAATTCACTCTTAACCCCTTAAAACTTAGCACCAGGATGTTGATGGCATCTCTGGTCCAGGCTGGATTGATCTAGGCTGCATGACAGATACCATGGACTTCCTTCTATTATAGCACTTAATAGTGCTATTATATGGTAGTATAATCCTAGCTACCAGTGTTCCCCACTAGACTGTGATCTTGCTGAGGATCAGGCTCAAAACATTCACATGGGTGTCCACAGTGAACAGCATAATAATAACTCCTTAGTAAGTAGTTTTGAATAAATGAAATTCATAATTCAGATCAGAAAATATTTGTTGAATGCACATTTCTCATGACCTGGGAAACAGATGAGTGGGTGTGACAATTTCTGTTTTTACTCCATTTATGGTATAATAATGAAGATAAAACCAACATAAAACACAAATAGAAATCAAAGTACTGTAATTGCTATGAAATGTAAAAGATCATGGGGAAATATGTTTTTACTTTTTTTTTTAATCCTTTCCATTAAAGTAAATAAGTATATACGTTTTTTCTATAAAAGTTGTGTTCTGGGCATGAAAATATCTTGAAACATAGAAGCACAGTCATGAGATTTTCCATTATCCTAATTGAATGTGTATTGTATTGAATGTATTGGATGAGAGTTATACGGTAGCTGGATTAAGAAGGTTATACCAGTGCATAGTATTATCTGAAGGAGAACATAACAGTAATTTGTCACTTGATGGAAAAATTAAAATGTTGGGTAGTTTCCATTAGCCATAGAGATTACATGTATGTCATACTGTTGAGGTAATACCCCTAGGTTTATGATCATCTAGTAAGAATTAATCTGGAATTTTATGAGTTCTATTCCAATTAATCTGTCTATATCCATGGAGTCTTTTGCTTATAGGGATTCTGGGATCATAATGATTCCTTCAGTTACGTTGGTTTTGTTTTAAAATCACATGTAGTGTAGGTATATTGATATAAAGAATAGCTATAATTTGATCATGTGTAGGAGCTGCCATACGTTTTGTCCATTTCCACCCTGCTGCGCCTTATTTAGGGTATTGTCTCTTGCACCTGATGGAAGATAACTACCTAGAAATTTCAAGATTGGTCCTTGATGAACAGTAGCTCTGCTTCCGTTATAGTTAAATACAGATCTCTACATCACTGCCTTATCTCTTTCTCAAGTAGCTGGATGTGCTTGGCAGGACTTATACCCAAATTGTTCAGTTATTGAACTGATAACTCTTAAGTGCATACTCTGTCCCAAGCAGTGTAACAGGTACTGGGGCTACAAAAAGAACCAAACAGGCAGTTAACTGAGCTTTCTGACAGTGCGTTTAATTTGTAGAAACAGGACTAAGAATAAACTATCTTTAAGTTAAATATTACTTTTATTTATATTATGTTGTCTTTTAATTTCCTGAGTACTCAAGCCCACAAATGGAAGGAATGTTGCTATAAGCCTTAAACTTAAAAACTTTAGACTTGAATGATTCTGAGAACTTGTTATTTTCTATAGTGTCTAATGAAATTTTCAACAATTGTAAAATTCTCAAGAATACATTATTTTTTAATCTTTTTTTTTAAACTAGTGTTCAGAATCAGGTGGATGAAGTCATTGATGTCATGCAAGAAAATATTACAAAGGTAATAGAAAGAGGGGAGAGACTAGATGAACTACAGGACAAATCAGGTACAGATACCTCATATATTTCTTGAAATTCTTAATCTGTATTTTGATAGTGTACTTCTCCCATTTTTCTAGCCAAAGTTTAGAAATCTTGTCTTAGGAAAAATGGTATTTATGGTTTTAATGTTTTAACTTTAGCTTCCTTTACTTTAAAAAAAAATTATTTTATTCAAGTATAGTTGATTTATGTGTTAATTTCTACTGTATAGCATTTATATATATACACATATATATACTTTTTCATGTTCTTTTCCATTATGGTTTATTCCAGGATATTGATTATAGTTCCCTGTGCTACACACTAGGACCTTGTTGTTTATTCATCTTATATATAATGTTTTGCATCTGCTAATCCCAAAACTCCCAATCTATCCTTTCCCACTGCCTCCCACCCACTGCCCACCCTAGGCAACCACAAGTCAGATTTCAATTTAGGTCTTCTGTCCCTTTTTTCAACTGGGTTGTTTGAAACTTCATTGTTAAGTTGTATATATTAGCTCCCTTTACTTTGAAACATCTTATTGTTATATTATTGCTTTAATTGATCGGTTGAGAATGAAAAAATTAAAAATTCATTGTTGAAAAGAATTAGAGTATTTTTTCTTTTGTCCTGTTATGTTGATGTACTTTGTATCTCTCCTGATCTCATGGAAAATAGGTCTAATCACTTCTATTCAAACTTATTTCAAACTTATCCAGTGTTTTTATCTCATGCTTTGTCTGGTGACTTAGTAACCTTTCTTTACTGACAGATGTTAGTCTCTGTTCTTATAATAGTTCCTGGCACTTATTAGGTACTCACACATTGTTTAAATGATGAGTGGCTGAATGACTGTCTGATTAATCCTTGACAGACTTATTTAACAAAAAAAATTATTTAACCACTTTTAAAATTCGTACTGTTTTGCTTCAGAATCACTTGATATAATCTAAGAATTTAGGCTTCTCCACTTGTAGATTTTTTCTATAGTTGTGCCAAGTATTCGAGTTTTTAAGAAGTATTTTTCTAACAGAATTCATAAGTTTATTGAAAGCACTGAAGCCCTAGAAGACTTATTTTACTCTTATCATAAAAGTGGATTGAGCAAACTGACGTGCAGCCACTTTTTCCTTTTAAGAATACAGAATGCCAGAGTTTGTGGGTGGAGGAAAGGAAAGATGTTGTTTTCATGCTTAAAGGGGAATACATTTGCAGAAGTAGAAATTAATATTTTCTTGTCTTTGTGTGACTAGATAAAAGAATCCTGTTATGTCGTTTAATCCTTCTCTCCATCCTCTATGTGATATAGAAAGCTTATCGGATAATGCAACTGCTTTTAGCAACAGATCCAAACAACTTCGAAGGCAAATGTGGTGGCGTGGATGCAAAGTAAGTAAATCAGACGATGTTGGATAGGTTGATCAGCATATCCAGTGGTGGTCAAAGACATGAAGGAAAAAGGGCCTCTGGATTATAAACTCTGTAAGGACAGGGGCTAAACTCTCTTGCTCATTCATTATTATATATTCTGAGCCTGAGACATGGTGGAACTCTGAATATTGTCGAATTAATTATCTTTTGGGTTAGAAATAACTAAAGGAATCAAGCAGTGCCTGAAAGGTTGTTTTCATGGGTTTCTTCATAGAGAGTAACCCACATTTTATTAATAATTTAGCTTCCTCTAGACTTATAAGAAATATTAACTTATAATTTGTTATTAGTACCTTTTTGGAGCAACCTATACCATTACATACAGATGTTTAAAAGATAGAATGCAAGCTAGAGAAAAATAAAATTTTCTGTTGGAAAGGAGGAAAAAAATAAAAGCAGTTGAATGTGTCAGAATTCTTATGGCAAATGGGGGCGCTTAAAAAAATCCCACTGTCCCTCATTATTCTAGAAAGTCTTTTGCCATACGACCCTGAACCCATCTGCCTGATCTCAGAAGCTTGGCAAGGTCAGGCCTGGTTAGTACTTGGATAAGAGGAATAAGAAGTAAAACATTTTAACAAGGAAAAAATTAGGAATCATTATATGCTGATATATTCCTGCAAAACATTTAATAGAAATGAATTTACTTCTTCAATCAAGTATGGCTACTGCTTATCAAGCAGAAAAATGTTTCTCTTAAGATTTTTTAGAAAATTTCATGTCATATGAGCACATCTCATCTTTTTCCTTCTGATACTTTGTATCATTTTAAAGTCTCTCATTTTCCAGTTTAGGAATAACTTTGAAAACATGATGTTGACACATGCTAAGGACTTCTTCTAAGAGTTTCCGTAGATTAACTTCTTTTTGTCTGTGTACCTGTTGAATCCTCTTATTTTCAGAAATAGAACTTAGGGGAAGATACAAGCTTCATTGCTCCTCTTGTCCAGAATTTAAATTTTCTAGGTTTTTTTAATGAGTGAATTTTCTATTTCTATACAGATGTTCTGTTCTGGAAATTAGTTTGGTGGAACAAAAGGTCGACGAGCCATTAACCTCCTCTCCCCATATATACACATGACTCATTCACGTGGCCATTAACAAAATGATAATGTACATCTTGTGTAACTTCTTTTAACCATAGCTAAAGATGTTCATTTTGTACTTTATGGGGTCCAGATCAAAGAAATAGCATGCTTTTAAGTGGAAAAATTAGAGTATATTTTTAATTTATATTTTTAATAGTCTCTACATCACTGCCATTTTCTGCTTTAACTTCATAATTATCATTTAGGAAGGATGAAGTAAAGGGCTATAGAAAGGGAAAAGAGATTAGAGCTTGCCACTGGCTAAGAGTCAAGGAGTAGAGACTGACTGCAGCAGGGTATGAGGGCACTTTCTGAGTGGTAAGTGTCTTACGGTCAGCTGCGATGGCGATGGTTAACAACTAGATGTCAAAATGCATCACAGTGAACTTTAAAAGGGTGAGTTTTATTGTATGTAAAGCATCTCTCAATAAACCTGACTTTTAACATAAATAAGTAAACATGTTTAATGAGAAACAGATTTTTGTCCATGTCGTTTGGAAGAAGTGCACTTTGGGCACACGTGAATACCGCCATTTTTGGTTGTAAACATTTCCTGGCCAGTGTTAGAAACTGTTTATTTAGGTGTTTTTAAATTGTTATTAATATTCCCATTTAAATCTTCTAAATGTTAAGCCTAGCACAAATAGGGCAAATTAATATGTATTTTTGGTAAATTTGAAAAGCTACTGTAAAATTCCAAGTTACTTTAGAAATATTTTTAGGTTTAAAAAAAATGCAGAGCTTCCATATATTCTCTGGATCACTTTTGTCACTAAAGTACTTTATAGTGTAATGTGGACCCAGACACCTATTGAAAATGTACCTGTATTCAATTGATCTGAGTCTGTGTCTACATTTTTTGGTTATCATATGATAGGTCCCTGCTATTCAAATTGCAAAGCTTCTGTGTATTGTCTTGGTCACTTTGTTCTTGTCATGAATATAATGCCACTAAAATGTCAGCCGTATTTTTATCTTAGAAACATTTCATTAGATATTCTAGTTGCTATTTGTGATATCCACCGGAATGTTTCATGTGTTTATAACAACTGGGTACCTTTTTTCTGAATGAACCATCTTTAATCAATTATCTGTGAAAATTGATGATGATAACACTTTTGTTTGAATTCAAATCTAATCAATTTATAATTTATGCATTGTAGCATTAGATGAGGAATGTGACAATTTTATAGAGAGAGATGATGTGGACCTCAAATATTAAGTAGCTAAGGATTTAATCTTAAGATTTCTCCTATCTGTGAAACTGACACACAGAATGCTCTTAGGCAAGTTATTTATTAAATGAGGTTTATTCATGAAAAGTTTAAATTATATTCCTCAAAATGGAGATAAAAATGCTAAGAAAACAAGGGGAGCACAAACTAACAGAATTCCAATATATTAATACTTTGAGAATAATTTCTATAAGAAATGCTGCTTTATACTATGTATATTGAACCATCTGTATTGGACGCCAATGGTATTTATAATATCCTGACATTTTTGGACAGAGTTGCTAAAAGATTGTTCTTTTCCTAGCCTTACATTAGAGATATGTGTGAAATCAGAGACAAAAAGACCAGGCCCATGAAGACTTTTATTATTACTGTTTACTCTGTAGCCTTGAACAGTAAAATCTACACAAGCATAACCCCTCAAATTTGGGGAACTCTGATTATTACAGAAAGATGCAAATAATCAAGTTTATATGAAAAAAAATTTGGAAACATTTCTTAGAAGGAGATTGTTGACCAGTTAGTGTAATGTGGTAAATAGAATGACAGATACTCTTTATTAAGAAGTGAAACATTAATCTTTTCTGTTTTTTGTGTGTTGTAGATAAAAGCTATCATGGCTTTGGTTGCTGTTATCCTTTTGTTAGTGATTATCAGTAAGTATTTACCAGATTATTAATTTGGAGGAGTATCATTTGATTTGAAGTTTTTAAAAATTTCCTTTTTAATTTATTTTCAGTTGACCTACTATGATTGATGTCAGGGTTGAGTAATGATTTATGGCCCCAGACAGGAGCTCTTAACCTAGAATCTGTAACTCTGAAAATGCATATAAATTGTATATAAAATTTTACATGAGTATGCATATGTATGTTTTTATAGTGAGAGTCTTTATCTTTCATCAGATTCACAACAGAAATGACAGGGCTGCATGATTTGTTTGAGGCCATATATGGCTACTGTTACACTCAAGACCGTAACACTCATTTTCTATTTATTATTAACTTTTAGGTATGGCAGCTTCATTTCATAATACTGTGTTTGAAGAAAATCCAGATAAATTCTCTAGATGATAATTTTTGTTTTGGATTTGAGCTTCATTTCCATCATTGAAGCATAACTCTTGCCCTCCCTTTTTACCCCCTTAATATCCTTTTTAAAGTCAGATCATTAAAAAAAATGTTTTTTAGTATAGTTGGTTTACATTGTTGTGTTAATTTCGGGTGTATGACAAAGTGATTCAGTTTTATATTTTTTCAGATTATTTTCCACTGTAGGTTATTAAAAGATATTAAACATAGTTCCCTATGCTGTATAAGTAGGTCCTTGTTGCTTATCTATGTTTAGTAGTTTGTATCTATTACTCTCACTTCCTAATCTATCCTTTACCCCTCTTCCCCCTTTGGTAACCAGAAGTTTGTTTTCTATGACTGTAAGTCTGGTTCTGTCTTGTATGTAGATTCATTTGTATTACTTTTTAGATTCCACATATAAGTTACATCATATATTTGTCCTTTTCTGGTTAGATCATTTTTAATATCTCCTTTTCCCCCAAGATTCTTGCTCTGTGTTTACAGGGATTTTATAAAGATCTGGAAAGTATCTCAGAATAACCATTTGAAAAATTCCATGGTGATACTACTTTTAAACAGGAAAAAAAAAAAGTTTTGTTTCAAAGACAGTCAGTCCTCATAATTTGTGGATTCTGTGTTTGTGAATTCATCTACTAGTTAGCATTGATCATTTACTCCAGTGCTTTTGGAGTCATTGGCAGTTGCAGTCAGAAAGGTGAAAACCTTGGATTTCTTGATGTGCATATTCCCAGCTGATGTCTAATGTCATGCTCTGCCTCAGTCCCACCTCATGAAGTAAACAGTTGCCCTTCAGAGTCTGTTCAGTGCCACGCTACTCACATTTCTGTCAATCTTGTTAATGGTTTTGCTGTTTCAAATGCCCCCAGGGGTACTGGTGCTCTGGTGCTGTCTAGTGTTGCTGAGTACAAGGCTGTACTGTGCCTTGTGAAGGAAATATGTGTGTTAGATAAGCTTCATTCAGGCATAAGTGACAGTCCTGCTGGCCATGAGTTCAGGGCTAATGATGAGTCAGCACTGTATAGTAAGTAAGGTGTCTCTACCCAGAAACTTATAAAACAAGGTTATGTACTGACTGGTTGTCAGAAACATTGTAGACAGAGGCTGGCAGGAATTTAAGCCTCTATTTGCCGTCAGAACAGTGGTTCAGTATCCACTCTTTCAGTGTTTGTGGTGACTTTATAGAACATAACTACTGCCAGTACCAAGAATCAACCAGTGGTATGTTGAATGGCATAAAGAAGAAAATAAAATCCAGCCATTCTCTTGACACACAGAGGTAGCTACTATTAATATAACTATTGTATATACTTCAAGTTTCCTATTAATAATATATAAACATGAATTCAAAAACTAAGATCATATGTATACTTTCTAGTAAATACTTTCAAAATATTTTCCCATGTTATTAAATGTTTTAGCCTCTTTATACTATGATTTTATATTAATCTGTTTGATCAAAATGCTAATATTAAACATTTAGGTTGTCTCATTTTTGCTTCTCCATTCCCATGTGTTATCTGTCATTTCATATAAAAATTGTCCCTGTTACTTACTTCTTTTCACAATGGAAACTATGTTTAGGAATATTGTTTCTCATAGTAGCGTATGAATCTGATTTTGATGTTTCTTTTCCATTTTTTTCTCTTGCAGTTCTTATAGTTGTGAAATACCGTACTTGATTTGACGACAGATCTTCATTAAATGAAATCTGGGACAATAATAATAAAAGGTTGCTGCATAATTTAAATGAAACCCATGTATATAACTTTCAAAGCTTCTTTTTCAAGAAATTAAGAGGCAAGTATCACTTCAAATTGGAGCATTGAGAATGTCCAATTATCTCCCTCCCTTCCAACAAAATGTTGCTTTTAATAATTATGTTTGAGGCAAAGATAACCAGCCTTGATTTTGCCATATTCCAAGGGTCTAATTTGAAACTAGATACTTGCCAATTCACTATTGTATATATAGTTAAACACTGATAAGGATATTTCATACTGTTATTTTAATGGCATAAGGACTTGACTTTATTGCATTGAGGTAGGGATCAGGCTGGTGGTCAGGGAGCCTCTGCAGAGTACCAGATCATTATGCTGAAAGATGTGTATAACCATTCCATCAATATTTGCAAGATTCTTTTCATATTAACAATTGCTTTGCAAGCAGTGTTCACATGTTTATAGATGTAACAAAAGCTAAATGTTGTAAATGTTGCTGCCTTCAGCTATAACTGAAAACATTCCAGTAAACCTATTTTTGATTGTATAAGGGAATGTGTAGTAATTTTTTGACATTTGGATTATGGAAATGGGAAATTTAAAGTGTGAAAAGCATAGTATGGCATCATAAATTGGAGGTAATAAAATTATTGAAGAGCATCATTGGAGTATTTGAAAATGCCGAACATACAGCTAAAACTCATGGTCCAGTCTGTTTTCAGTTAGCCTCCAATAAGGAGGACCAGTCCTAAAGTGAGTAATGAAATCCACAGGTAACTTGTCCCCCTAATTTTCTGTTTATTAGTAGCTTTCCTCTTTTAACTTCAACTAGCTATTTTACCAGAAATGCTTAAAGTAGCAAAATTACCTGCTTAGGATTTTTGATTTTTGCATTCCCTGATTATCTCCTGGGAAATGCAGGTTATACATAAAATTAAATGTGAAATTAGCCAGTAATAATAATAAGTCAGGAGCCTAGTTACTCAGTCAGTCAGTAACCAAATGCTAGGGTCACCATTAATCTCAGTCTGTTTTTATAATGATAAAAAGTGTTAACTTTAAAATGTGCCAACCTTCTTGGGTTGTTTAAACATGTGAAAGTGAAAATACAGTTCTCTAGTGTGTGTGTGAAAAAGTTTTATAATAAAATTGGAGGTTCTATAGAGACTTGTGTACATGGACGTCTTCACAATGTATATGTAACTCTAAATTTGAAATAGGGTTAATAGAAAGTAGCAGTATTTAAATAGGAAAAAGAAATAGTCCATATAGGGTTTATTTCTTTGGTTGTTTTCATTCAAAAAGTATGAAACATAGGATCTTTTTTTTTTTTTAAATTCTACAGGTAGTACTAAGATACAAAAATGTTCTCTTTAGAATGAAAAGACATTTGAAGGGAGAAAGCAGATTAAGAGATATTCAATACACCTGCAAGTTAAGAAGGTCTAAATATATTTGCTTAGCATTATAGTCCACTAAGAACATTTAAAAAGAGGTAAAGGTCTTACATACTATGGAGTGTGTTCTCTGGTTTCTCCATCCTTTGTAAATGTCAGTTACTGTAAATAACTAATAATAAATACTAAACCCTTTGACAAAAGAGGATACCCAGGAAAATGAGCTTTTTTAGAATTTCAGTAGCTAATATAGTTCAGGAATGGAACTGTTTTAACTGAGTGTACAGAATCAGTCCTAACATGTTTATTTTGTGTGTCCTTCATTTGGGATTGGAACTAGACTCACCAGTGGTTAATTTTCTATTGGTTAGTATAGAAATTTGGTTTCTTCATATCATCTATCAGTGAAGATGATTATTTCTCAAAAAGAATCCACATTTCCAGTGTTTCTTTAATAAAGTATGCTTTTAAAGAAATAAAAACAAAATTTTTAAAAATTTTAACAATGAAAAAATAAAAGGAAATATTTATATGATAATATCATATATATGTAGTTCTCTTTGTATTTAAATATATTGCTGCTGAGAATACTGGTGGTGGATATGTTACTCTTAGGGATTTGTACTAGTGGTAGCCTGTTTAGTGGTAGCTCAGTTCATCATTTCATCCTTCTCAGTCTTCATTAGTACTAAGACCCTTAAAGTGACTGACATGTTTATGACTTTATTATCATAACCTTGGAGACACACGCCTTAGGAAAAAGAAAAATGTGTTCAAATTGATGCCAGGCCTGCCTTCCTTCCCTCCCTTAATCATTCTTTTTCTCATTCAGCTCAGATCATCCTACACTTAAAAAATGAAGTTTCCCCATCATCAAAATTCTTATTACTTAACAACAATGAAGAGCAAGAGAAAAATTCCAAGTAGCTTTGTAAATACTAGTTGATACCCCAGTGAAATTAGGTCACCCCTTTTATAATGCTGGAAACAGACCCTTGTGATTTATGTTTTAACTACTGAAACCTGTTGCCCTACAGTAGTTTTGTGATAATGCTAATTAATTAGCTTTTCCTACAGATATGATCCAGTAATACCTGTGGTCTTTTTGCTCCTCTATCCTGATAAATGTCACTGGAAATCACCCTCAGGTTTTTATAAACTTGGGGATTTCTTGACTAAAGAGAAGTTCAGTATTGAGAATGGAACATTATAAGATGGAGGATGGGTAATAGTACACGTCAAATTCAGAAATACCTTCTGTTAGCACTCCTGTGGGTGGCTTCTATATAGTCTTTATGTGCAGTCACTCTGCATTAAAAAATTATAACTTCAGCATTTTTTTATAGCAGAATTGGGCATCTTTCAATTTTGTATGACACGTGGGTATCCTGGAAATGATTATACATGTACAAACTGAGAAGGAAAAAAATTGAAATTTCTCATTATCAGTACACTCTTAAACATGCTAGATGGCCTGTCAGCCTTTTTATCCACACTCTCTACACTTACGTGTATGCATACTATGATTAAAAAATATGCTAGAAATTGTTTTCTCATGTTGAGAATGAGTGCCATTAGAAGCTAACTGTATTGAGTCAGTATTCCTAAGTCTAGGAAAACCAGCTCTCAGTCTGATTGTGTGTTTTCATGTGGAAATGTGATTGGACTCATTGAAGTCAGTTTTATTTTTCTGTGAGTGAGGAGTTAGAACATAAATCAGTCCAAAAGCATTTATACACTTTTGTTTTAGAATGCAGTACTCATATTTGTGTAGGAAGTTGCCACAAGCCTGTGTGAAGATACTGAGTCAGGAGCTGGAAGGTGCCCTACTTCTCAATCCATCCACTGTTTTTCCCATACTGTAGACAAATGGAACCATAGGGGACACAATCTTTTTATTCTGGCTCCTGTTTTAAGAAGCTGCTTGGAACAGGTCAGTAGGGATTGAAGGGAAAGCATGACCAACTCAATTGAGGGGGATAAACATAAGCTTGGGAAAACACAGATCACATCGTGCTTGTGTCCCCACAGCACCCAGCCTAGTGCCGTGCACCTGGCTAGATGAGTGTGCCTAGGAAATCACAGACACACCGGTGTGCCCGTTCATAAAGCGTCAGCGCCCATGGTCCTCCCTGCAGAGGTGACATGACTGACATAACTGTGGGTCTTTTGCCTTTACCAGGAGATCATAGTGCTCTTTTATAATGGATAAAGAAAAATTTTGATTTTACATTATTTCATTAGTTTTTTTTCATTTGAAAAGGTCTTGAAATCAGACCGTCTATTAAATATTTTAGGGCTATAAAGTAAATTGTAAATCAGTCAAATGTCAGAACTCAAACTCTAAGAAAACTCAAGCACTTGATCTTGTGCCTGGGGTATGTCATTGTTTTAAATTCCACACTCATTTATTTAATCATTTTGATAAGTGCCTTTGATGTTTTCAGATGTATGGTGGGAGATGAGCAATGTAAATGGCGTGCACCCTGTGCTGAAGACTCTCAAGTCTTCATATCCATTTTCACCAGTGTTGCAAATGTTAGTCCTCGGTGTTCCTGTCAGATATGTATTTGTAGCCCCTCCATAGTAAACAGTAAAATAAACTATTTCATAGAAAACAAAATTAAGCACTTTTTGGCTTATTCATTATGTGTTACCTGTTGCCTTCACTTCATAGCATAACTTACTTGAAATACCATCTGGCTAACCTGATTCAGGCTTCCCTGGTGGCTCAGCTGGTAAATAATCTACCTACAATGCAGGAGGCTTGGGTTCAACCCCTGGGTTGGGAAGATCCCCTGGAGAAGGGAATGGCTACCCACCCCAGTATCCTGGTCTGGAGAACTCCATGGACTGTATAGTCCATGGGGTCGCAGAGAGTCAGACACGACTGAGTGACTTTCACTTTCACCCTGGTTTAGTCCATCCCAGTTTTCCAATAAGGTACATGGAGGAAAAATAAATAGAAGATGTCCTGTCACCAAAAACCATATAAGGTGCTCAATCTATTGACAATCTGCTAAGAATGTCTCAGTGTAAAATTACTGAGTCTCAACTGCAGAAAAAAACAATTGGAATACTCATGCTTTTGAAAGAGAGGAAGGGGGGACAAATTTCTCTTGCACTTACACTTAGGTGTTCCAATCAGAAAACCTGGCACCCACCCCTCAGCTGCATGAGCTGCTTTTAGAGGCAACTAGAGCAGTGTTCCTCCAGTCCACTTGCCTGGAAAATCCCATGGACCGAGGAGCCTGGTAGGCTGCAGTCCATGGGGTCGCTAAGAGTCGGACACGACTGAGCGACTTCACTTTCACTTCTCACTTTCATGCATGGGAGAAGGAAATGGCAACCCATTCCAGTGTTCTTGCCTGGAGTATCCCAGGGACGGGGGAGCCTGGTGGGCTGCCGTCTGTGAGGTCACACAGAGTCGGACACGACTGAAGCAACTTAGCAGTAGCAGAGCAGTGTTTATTCTCTTCAACCTCCTTCCACCCAGAAACTAAAGTTTGTTTCTCTCATACTCCAGAAAGGTGTGGGAGGGGGTGACATTGGGGGCATGTTGTA